CAGCTACAGAAAACACGAACAAAGGAAATAACTTGTTTTACTTACAATACTCTACAAACCGAAGTTTTCGGTTGTTTAGTTCTATTTTAAGGTTGGATTAAATGGGCTTCAGCACTGTCACATTACATATAAGATAGCATAAGCAGTCCACTGCCTAATTTCCACTTTTTTTTTTTTAATTAAAAATTAATTTTTGTTAGATAAAGCCATCTGCATATTGTTGATTGGGGATTGTGATTTCCTGCTTTACTGGCTGTGCCACTATGATGGGGGTTTGAGGAAGGAGTAGACCCTTTTCTGTCCCCAGTTGGAGATACTATGTTTAGTTTGATCAGAAGAACACCTTTAACATAACTATTTGGAAACTGGTAATACAATACTGTATATTGTCAGAAACCCAGTTTTTCATGTATTCACAAGTGTTGTTTGTTAGTGCCAGTCTTCTTAAGTAATGCCCAGCAAAAGCTGACAGACTGGCATAATGCCGGGTGGCTTAGCTGTGCCAATAAGTAAAGCAGCCTGCAATAAGTTTCAAGTAGAATCCGCTTGGCGGTCAGAATGCATAAATGTAAATTGCATGGCATTCTTGCGGATAGCAGGTGTATGACTGACAGTGGATGCCCACCGGTGCACTGGCTGGTGAGGAATGGGGAATATTAGTAGAGTAATTAATGCAACAGAGTTGCTAATTATCTTCTCACACAGCAAGCCTCCAGGTTTTGTCCGTGTAATGATGCCAGGAGAAGGACTGGATTCATTCTCTGGATCCCTGATCGCAGCAGCATAGCCCCATTCCTGCCTCTTATCACAAATAAAATGCCAGATATTGCCGTGCCTTTCCCGCCCTGCATGTTGTACTCCACAGACCAGAGAGGTGTGTGATTCTGTGCAGGACCAGTCTTTGTATACCTGCCAGTCTCTGCCATCTACAACACAATAAAGTTGTTTTATGACAGAAATTGTCTAAGAGGACATGTCGGCTGATTTTGGATTAAATATATTGGTGCTTTTGGACAATTATGGTGCCTTTTACCTGTTTTACTGCCTGTCTGACATGTGCTATATTATTATTGTACCTAGGCATGAGATCCTGAAATTGAAACTTGTAAGAGCGTGAGATCCTGAGATTGAAACTTTCCCTGGGTCAGAAAGGTGAAGGACTCCGTCATAATTACTACTCCCCTGTTCACATTACACTCTGCACTTTACTGTGCATTTTTTTTTTCTCCAATAATTCAGGACTGTGTAAAATCCAGAAGACAGGCAAAAAAAAAAAAACTGTAGCACCTGCAAAATTTGTAGGCAATGCGAAAATGTGTGAGCCAGTTCTCTTACCATCCATAGAAGGTCATCTCTCCCTGGTCATCTCTCCCATCCTTTGGCCCCATTCACACTATGCATTATTGTGCGCTAAGGCAGTGTTTTTATTTTGAATGGTCTGACAGTACACCTTAATCCACAAAACATTGGATGCGACCTTTTTTTTTACTGCACTGTACCACAATGCACATAGTTTTGGTGCACTGCTTAGCAAGTATGTTGCCTGCTTCTATAATAGCGAGTTGGGTGTCATTCAATATAAATAGCACCAAAATGCGCCCCTCTCTTTACTATACATTGTGGTAAAATGCTTATTATCACAATACAGCTGTCTGAAAAAGGGCTGAATGTGCTGATTGACTCCTGAGGTATGCACTCATTTATTGGCCCATGGTTGTACAATGTTTGAGTCTCTGACACACCCAAGAGAAACTAGGCTTTCTCTCAAAAATCAGCAACCCAAATACAAAATTTGAGACATGAGGCTTTGCATGCTGGTAAGAAAAAAAATGTGCATTACTATCGTGATGGAGATTTTTGTTTTTGTATCTTATTCAGGCTTTTGACTGTTTAAAAATTAAGTTGTTTGATCTACTTCAAACTATTTTTTTGTACTCATCATCCTTGTGCCTGGGTAGAACCCAAGAGAAAACCAGTATAGTGCAGCTTTAGCAAAAGAGTCTGTCATTTCTATTACGCATGGTTCTGGAGTTCAATTTCCGCCTAAAGATTTGACATTTGATGCAGCCTAGAGTGTTTTGTTAGATGATAATCTTGTTACCTTTTTTTGTTTTCCTCGGGCAAAGTTCTAAATTGAAGGCACTTTACTGTTATCATCCTGTCCTCCATGTTCTATCTTTGCAGGGCATGTCAGGAGAGCGCAGTCATAACAGAAGGGTACATAGTACACAAACAGTCTTATACCATCGGTGGAATAGGAGCAGTTTTAGTAGCCCAGTCTGCACATTAAAAACACTTCTTGCTTATTGAAAATGTAAAGTATACTGACCATTGTAACCACTGAGATATCTGTTTACGAAAGTCGTATATCCGCACATCGTTTGATTGCTTGCTTTGGGTTCTTCGGGCCACATAGAGGCTGGATAAGCACAACTAAAGTCTGCCTAAACTTACTTTCTGCACCAGCGCTGAAATCTTCACCCAGCCTTCCAGGTTTGATAGGTTTGATAGCCTTAGCCACCGTGGCTAGCCCAAGATTCCCTGTGCCTGCACAAAAGAGTGAATCCGTCCCGGCACCAAGGCAATCTTCGGTATCTCTGCAGAAGTCCGAAACGCCTTATGCTAAACCAGAGCTAGAGCTGTCCAAGGTTTGCTTGTTTCAGAGCCGTAGGCCTGACTTACTGTGACCCATATTAGCAGAAAGGCCTGACTTGCTGGAAGCCATATTGAGTCACTTCCTTCACACTGAGAGCAAGGGTCCTCCTCTTCAGCATGCTGGCCCATGGAACAGGCTTTTCTACTCAGGTTGTGGCTGGTTTCTAAAGGAAACAGAGAAACTTTGCCTATCTTTTGTTTTTGATGTATCTAGGATGTATTTAGCGGATTTAAACTGTAAATTTGGTTGGGCTTTAGAGAGTAACATTTTTTTAGCTGTTATGTATCTGTTGCTAAGGAAAGTTTTCATATGATGGAGAACCTTCTGTATCATTGTACAGGAAAGACCTTGTGTAAAATGTTTTTACAACTTCACGTTGGATCTGTTTCATGTTTCTACTGATATTACAGTGGACAACATTGATGCTTAGTCAAGCCATGATGTGAAATTAGAACTGTCCACATGAGCCAGGCAGTTTTTATAGGTGCCCTTTTTAGTTCACGGCATCATCTTCTACATGCAGTCTGAAATATCATTTTCCTTTCTTTTAAGAATGTAACTTGTGTTTCCTATAGCAGCCAAATTTCTTTTCTCCTAGTGCAGCATTGTGAAAGAAAAACTATGGTCGCCAATGAAAAACAGATTGTTGGAGGCCAGTGAGACCTAATATATATTATCCCAGGATGGAGTCAAGAAAAAAAATGTGCAGTACTATCGTGGAGATGTCTGAGAAGGAGTATGTTGGGACTTTTAGTTCTTATGTAGCAGAAAGTTACAACCTACAGGTATTTCATGCGGCTCTTTTTCCTTTGTCTTATAAATATAGGTGTTGCAAGTGTTTACTTGTGTGAGTGATTTTTCATTTCACTGCTTCTGAATTCCCTCCACAAAAAACATAACACGTTTGGTAAGTGCGGGTTTGAGCCACGACTCGCCTCCCCAAACCTGGTTATAATGAGAGAAGTGATCCTGGTAAGAAGGTGTAATTTTTCTAATTATCCACTACCCACGGCTCTTGGTGCTAATGCATTTCTTCTCTGTCTGTATATGCCTTTCAAACCTTCCTCTCTCTTTCCGTGCATATAATTCAAAGTCACAAATGCAAAGCAAGCCTAAAAGCTTGTCCCGGTCCCTCTTGGAAAATGTGGCATTTCAGCATATTCCGCTCGTATTCTTCCCTCAAACTGTGCAGGCCATTAGCTGTAATAGCATTTCATGCTACGCTTAAGCAGTACAAAGACGAATTGAAAGGTAGTCCATATGATCATTTGCTTTTAATATACTTTAAATGCACTGAACTAAGCAGAAAGGGGAGAAGAAAAAAAAGTATCCAGACATTTTCCATTTTGATTGTGAATGAAGCTGTCTGTTCTGCATGGAGTACCGTTTGAATGGACGATATTTTCCAGACAGCCATGCTACTTATGTTAACTTCATGTTACTTACTTCATCTGGAAACAATGGTCATCACCCACCATGAAGACCTGGATTGGGAGACCCTGACAAACAAAAATGGGAATAGTTTTGATAATCATGCCTTTCACCTTGGGCAGTAATGCCATCAGCCATTTTGTCAGCTGAACATATTGTCCCTTTTCCTTGTCAAGTCTTGTTATACTGGCACCACTTTCATGCTCCCAACTTTGTGGGAAGAGTTTGGGGATCGCCCCCTCCTGTTCCAACATGACTGCACCCCAGTACAAAGCAACGCCAATAAAGACATAGATGAGCAAGTTTGATGTGGAGGAACTTGACTGGCCTGACCTCAACCCTATAGAACACATTTGGGATGAATTAGACCAGAGACTGCGAGACAGACCTTCTTGTCTGACATCAGTGCCTGACCTCACTAATGGTCAAACATTCCCATAGACACACTCCTAAAACTTGTGGACAGCCTTCCCAGAAGAGTTGAAGCTGTTAAAGCTTAAAGGGTGGGCCAACTTAATATTGAACACTACGGGCTAAGACTGGGATGCCATTAAAGTTCATGTGCGTGTACTTATGGCAGTATAGTGTGTGTATGTATGTATGTATATATATATATATATATACACACACACTATATTGCCAAATGTATTTAACGTTAAAGACATCCCAGTCTTAGTCTGTAGGGTTCAATATTGAATTGGCCCACCCTTTGAGCTATAACAGCTTCAACTCTTCTGGGAAAGGCCGTCCACATGGCTTAGGAGTGTTTCTATGGGAGTATTGGAATATTCTTCCAGAAGCATATTTGTGAGGTCAGGCACTGATGTTGGGCGAGAAGGCCTGGATTGCAGTCTCCACTCTAATTCATCCCAAAGGTGTTCTATTGGGTTGAGGTCAGGACTCAGGCCAGTCCACTGCATCCGACGCTTTGCATTGCACTTGGTGATGTAAGGCTTGGATGCAGCTGCTCGGCCATGGAAACCCACTCCATGAAGCTCTCTACACACTGTTGTTGTGCTACTTTGTAGGCCACACCAAGTTTGGAGGTCTTTATCTATTGACTCTGCAGACAGTTGGTGACTTTTGTGTGCTTCAGCATGCGCTGACCCCATTCTGTCATATTACGTGGCCTACCACTTCATGGCTGAGTTGCTGTTGTTCCCAGTTGCTTCCACTTTGTTATAATCCCACTAACAGTTGAGCGTGGAATATTTAGTAGCCAGGAAATGTCACGGATGGACTTATTGCACAGGTGACAACCTATCACGGTACCACACTTGAATTCATTGAGCTCCTGAGAGCGACCCATTCTTTCACAAATAATTCTAGAAGCAGTCTGCATGCCTAGGTGCTTGATTTTATATACCTGTGGCCATGGAGGTGACTGGAACACCTGAATCCAATGATTTGGAAGGCTGGCCCAATACTTTTGGCGATATAGTGTATATCTATAATGATTGGTATCATTCACTGTTCAGCCTAGCTGCATTTAGTAAAAATATGTTTGTTGTATAAAGGGCTCAACTACAACACCACTGAAGACATGTAAACATGTGGAAACATGTCTAAATTTACCATGTACATGTAAAACAAAGCAAACTTCCCAGAATAGTTTTTCCTGAACGGAGCTTTAAATCTGAACTGCATCCTTCCCAGTCTTTGTGCAGGCTCCTCTCATGTACTGAAATAGCTTATTCACATTTCACTGCACACTGTGAATTAGACGTTGTGACAAGTCAGGTAGAGCCTACCTCATTTCCTGGCTGGAAGATGTCCAACATTATCTAGTCTTTTCCACCCCATCCTGACTGTCTTTGGCCTGCTCCTTTCATTCACGGGATTTCAGTTCTTTCAAACATAGGAGCTTAGCATCACATGTGGGTGTTGCCTAGTGTTGTCTGCATGTAAGTACAGTCTACCTGGGAATGCCCACTTCTTCACAATGACATCCACCCGTCAAGGCCTTTTGATATTTGCATAAATCTTCCCAACAGCCAGCCCACTGCTTTTATCAGTGAGTACTGAGACAGGGTGCTACAATATTTTCACATGTACAGCACCCTTCTGGCTACTCCCACCACCCAAGATCTTCCTGCATTACATAGAAAAACACAGAGATCCAGTGATGATGTCACTAAATTTAAAATAAGGTATGTCATGAAAATGAAAAAGATTGTATTAAAAATATAATTTGCATGTTGATGAGAAGGGGTAAGGAGGAACTGGGGAATGCAAAATATAGCCCAATTAAACTCAAGTAAATACAATTTCAAATGTTATTTTCAGTATTGTAAAATCTGCAGCTTAAATTAAAATATCGCCCTTGTTCAGATACTTGCTATTATAGAGTGGCAATGCTCTAACTCTGTTTCCCAATTTCACACTAGCTTCAAATCGAGACCACAAATGGCCCTTTTAACACACATTTAACATACATTAGACCTTTCCAATGTTATCATCATCAGGAAACCCACCCTGAGAAATGCCATGCAGCCATCGCTGGAGTGCAAGTAGACAGAAAGGATAAAAGGCATACAAGTGAGCGCTAAGGGTGAGCTGCTGTAACACCGAAAGGCACCAACAACCTTCTGAGACCAACTGATATATTAAGGTGCAGCGCTGGAATCATAAATTCAATATAATGCAATCAATATGAAATTGTCCAAAATAATCTTGATGATATATAAAGTGCAGATAGTGTCAATGTAAGCGATGAATCAATCAGCACAAGTAAATCAATAAAGTGACAACAGTGCAAATGCACATTACCAAACACAGGTAAATAGATAATGTGACAACAGTGCAAATGCACATCCAAAAAAGGTGAAAATGGTGCTAAAAGTGACAGTCTATATATCGATGTATAAATAAATAAATGCAAAGCTTCAGATAAAGTGATCCTCTGTGTATCTTCTGGTGATGAAATAATAGAATTACGCACTCACCAGATGCATAATTCCATCATGCATTTGAGAATAATTACATCTCAGTGGGCCAGCTGGATCCTCTTATGGACACCTCTATCCTGGTATGGACTTCCCTCTGGGTCATCAGTGGGATGCAGCACCTTTCACCTCCTTTCACAATGGGCTCATAAGTTGACAGTAAAGATGGCCGCCAGACCAGCGTGAGCCTCGGCGGCGTGACATCAGGACGCTGCAGCTCCTCCCTAAAAGTAGACAGAAGCTGCAAAGAGCTGAAGGAGATCATAACTTTTTTTTTTTTTAAATGCCAGTTAATTATGATTCATATTACATTAACCACTTTACTGCTACAGGGCAGATGTTTTGTGCAAAATCATGTATATAAGTGTGATTTTGTATTTCCGCCACTGGGAGGGGGTGCCCGCCGCCGGAGCACCATTTCTGCAGTGATTGAACACAGCAGAGGCCGATCAACAAGTGCCAGCCAACACATGAGCAACGGCACCTGTTGATCGCCGAGGAGAGTTCCTTGTTTACATTGGTGGAGCTGTGTCCTGTCTTCCAGAGGTCAATTGGTTAAAAAATGTAATTAAATCTCCTAAAATGCTGATGTCCAGTCTACAGAAGAGCCCAGCTGATAAGAATTAGAAGCGAAAGCCATGTTCACTCCTGATTACCTGGAACCCATTTATCATCCTTTATCCTGAGCTGCTCTACCTCCTCACTCATTTGGACCTCCTTTGAAGGTGCAAGGGTTATATAAACAATATGTCTTGCTTTGGTATACATTGTATAAGTAAATGCATGTAGTGCCCAAGGTGGTACATATTAGAACCTGTCCTCTTCAGTATCAGTACCCCATATCTTTGTACACATTGTTAAAGGGATGTACGAAATATGAATTTCCAGTTACCAGTCAGCAACACCGGTGGTGCAAAGGTTCATGGGAGTGGACCTTATTCTTCACCTAGATTGTGTACTGACTGGAGCAAAGAGTGAGGCTGATCTGTGTCGCCGGCCTCTGTTACATACAATATTAACATGCACTTTGATAAAAAGGACTTGTTGGGTAACACATAAGCTTTAACATGGCCGGCTTTCATTCTATGATATTCAGTAGCTAGATTGTAGCACTAGATTACTGTATTTTTCATAAAATAACTTGTAAAAAAGTTTGGGGCCTAATTCAACTGGAATGAAAACAGGTGAAGGGCCACAGGAAATGTGAGAGATGATCACATAAGGCCAAAGAGACACCAGTTCTGTATTTCCACTATGAATTGGAGCTGGCAGAGCGGTCATGTGATAACCTAATCCGACATTACCACATGGCTCTGTTTATACATACAGTGCCATCGTTTATAAGGTGTATACATGGGCACATGGAAAACTACAGAATACAGAAATGTGTCTTTTTTGATCTGTTTTCTCCTGATTTGATATTAGATTGAGATAAGTGCATTTCAGAATACATATTAACATTTAGTAATGCAAATGGCTGTTCTCTGAGCCAGGCTGTACTGTTCAGGAGAATACGGTACCTGTGCACTGCCACACATTGCATATGCCATTTGCCACGTAATGACAATGTTTGTAAGTTATTATTTGAAGCCTACGGACAGAGCAAGCCTTATTGCACCCAGCAGTGCGTGTAAACGTGATTTTGGAACCCTCCAGCGACTGCATTAACTGTACACCAGAGTCTGGCAGAAGCAATAGCTTCTATATTTGTATAGGCAGTAAGAGGCGTCCCACTATAGCCTGACTGTTATTGAGTATCTGTATTCAAGATGTTTACATTTCCTTTCAATGAGGATACTTTATAAAAGCTGGAGGAAAGGAAAAGCAGAGGTGTTGGCCGTAGCATGTTAAGATTGCATGCTTTCACCTGCACCAGGTAAAGCAAACGAGAAATCGAGTTTTTTTGGCTGCCATGTCCTACAACTTGTGATGGTCTATTTGTTTTACCAAATTACCCTCAATAGAGTAAGTGGAGGGGGAAATGCTTTGCAACTGGAAGTCATTCACATGGTTTCATGCATTCCTCAATGATTTTCAGGTATAATTATTTATTAAGAAATTATTTTCAGGTATATTTTGCTACTGAACCAAAGCAACAGGCAATCTGCAGGGTCAAGAGAATAAAAGCACAGCAAATCAGAAGGACGTCTTATGAGCTGCTCACAACATCTTCATCACAAGTCATCACAGCACTCTAGTAATATAATAAGAAACAACTTACGTATTCTAAACATCAAAAGGAATACAAGTGCTATATGTATATACACACACACATATATATATATATATATATATATATATATATATATATATGTCTTAGATTGTAAGCTCCAAGGATCAGGGCCCTCCTAACCCTATTGTATTGAACTGTATTGTTGCTGTATTGTCTCCCGTTATATTGTAAAGTGCTGAGCAAACTGTTGTCGCGATATAAATCCTGTATAATAATATTAATTAAATAAATATATATATATATATATTCATCACCTCCTCCCACGCTCGCCTCCAGGACTTCTCCAGAGCCTCTCCCATCCTCTGGAACTCCCTAACACAGTATGTACGGTCAGCCCCCACCCTGTTTGTCTTTAGGCGAGATCTTTGAAAACTCACTTATTCAGGGAAGCCTACCCTACCTCCACCTAAGAACTGTACTTGAATCACCTCCACCAGATCATTCCCCGCAGCTATCACCTTTTGTATCACCTCCCCCTTCCTGTAGATTGTAAGCTCCATGACCTGGGCCCTCCTATTCCTTCTGTACTGAAATGTATTGTAATTGTACTGTCTCCCTTTATATTGTAAAGTGCCGTGCAAACTGTTGGTGCTATATAAATCCTGTATTATAATAATAAAATATATATATATATATATATATATATATATATATTCATCACCTCCTCCCACGCTTGCCTGCAGGACTTCTTCAGAGCCTCTCCCATCCTCTGGAACTCCCTACCACAGTATGTCCGGTCAGCCCCCACCCTGTCTGCCTTTAGGCGATCTTTGAAAATGCACTTATTCTGGGAAGCCTACCCCACCTCCACCTAAGAACTGTACTTGAATCACCTCCACCAGATCATCTCACGCAGCTATCACCTTTTGTATCTCCTCCCCCTTCCTTTAGATTGTAAGCTCCATGACCTGGGCCCTCCTATTCCTCCTGTACTGAAATGTATTGCAATTGTACTGTTTCCCTTTATATTGTAAAGCGCCGTGCAAACTGTTGGCACGATAGAAATCCTGTATTATAATATATATATATGTGTGTGCCTTAAGCATATGTGAGAGCTAATATGAGATT